TGCTTAAAATTTGAAAAAAAGACAACATCCAATTACACACTACAACAAGTATTATGAATCAGATCCTACCTATTCTTACCGTTAAAATAATATACCACCATTACTCCCAAAATCTCTTGCCATTACTCAAACAACGCCGATGCGTTCTAACAATACAACTGCTGCATAATAACGGACTAAACAATGTGTCCTTTCGCTAACTATAAACATGTTGCTTGGAATTTCATAAAACACTCAACTGCCAGTTGCTCGCTAAAACGACTATTACCAAAAAACACCAACCTATTCTTACTGAAATAGCTTACCACCCTTATTCCGACGATATCTACCCATAACTCCAACAACCCTGGTGCCTTATAAGAATTCAAGTGCGCCCCGTTGATAATTCAATACCGATCGGATTGGCCGGTAATCATAATACAGAAATATATAAGCCAAATTTAACCACCCAACAACGACAAAATCAAGCGCTTAGCTGGGACTGTTGCCTGATACATACATCAAAATATAATTCAAAGAACCAAATAAAGAGCACTACACTGTACCCCGATCGATAACAACAGCGCAGGTGAGTCAAGATAAAGTACCACAACATCACTTGAATAATATAAAACAACAGGTAAATTGGGATAGCCCACTGGGTGAATTCACCACAAATTTACGTGTAGTTGTTCCAAATATATGCCTCATCTGTAAATGAGACAAATACACATTTGTACAAATTAAAGGGAATATTGGTTACAGCAACACAACTTTAGGATACAAACTCCCTTATGTTGCACTGAATTTTGTAGGCTTATATATAATTTTTCAACATTGCAGATTACCCGTCGTCTCTGCCAGGAAAAATCAAGCTTTACGAATAATATTCGATCAGACATAATGGACGTCATATCAGACATTATTAAGGCGTTTAGAAGGCCTGCTGATGTACCCGCCCATATTAGGAAACTGCAACAACTTCTGCCTCTTTTAGCAGTCCAAGACAGCATGTTGAAACAGAGAATAAAGAATTATACATCGTCATCAATCTCCAGCCAACGGGTTGTCGAAATACGAAAACTCAAAATAATTCGGGGAAAGTATGCGCGTTTGAAGAGTAAGCTCACATTACTTCAAAGGCAATACAAAGGTCACCCATTGAAGCAAGCAAAGCGTGTTCTATATTACATCAAAATCTTGGAAAAGGTGGTGCAAGCTACAGATATCAGAACGCCAGAAATCCATCGACAAATACAGGGTAAGTTGCTATTGTTCCATATATCCACTGCATAACTCCCAAACAGATTTACCAAATTGAACTACTAACTACGTATGTCGATGCTACACCTAAACATTACAACACAGAAGGAAAGAAAGACATCTCCCCATTAATCAATACTAGCACGTTACAATAGTTGCTACCAATCTTTCCCATACATTTACATTATTCGAAACTCTTCACGCCTCATTACAGTAGGAACATAAATACAATGTGATATTTGCCATGCATAATAACGTAGACATAGTCTATACTTACAGATAAATCCAAGATGTATTATACTGAGTAACAATTTTTTTAATAAACATCTTCTCAGGCGGACATTGTAACCAATCCAATGACTCAGTTATGGAGGAATGTCCAGACGTCTCACATGTAATACATCCGCAGATAAGTAGTAGCAGACAGGCCAGTCAGAACAGTACAGGTACAACTGTCACCCAGTCAACAACACACATAATAACATATACACATAACCCTGTATTGGTTACAGAACTTCATTATTCATGAATTAAATACTTATATCGTCTCCCACTGGACTTATATGACAGCTGGATACAAGACAAGATTGATTTTGGGCCCTCCAACGTACACCTGTCAATATTGTCAGTCAATTCTGTGGTATGAGGAACGGACAGACAAAAGTAAAAATACACGACAACCCAAATTTGCACTTTGCTGTATGGAAGGACGAATCTGTGTACCATTATTGACTCAACCACCACCGTATCTCAAATATCTATTGGGCACTGAATCCGGAAAAGTGGGGATGAACTTTAGGAAAAATATCAGGGTATATAACTCCATGTTTGCATTTACATCAATGGGAGGTCGAGTTGATAGATCAATCAATCGTTCTAAGGGACCTTATGTATTCAGAATAAGTGGGCAAAATTATCATCACATAGGCTCACTATTACCAGAAATTGGAAAAAGTCCACAATTTGCACAACTCTATATATATGACACGGATAATGAGATAGAGAATAGAATCAAAAGTCTGATGCATGAAGAAGTAGAAACAGAAATCGTACAAGGAATATCTGAAATGTTGGACGAGCATAATGTTTTGGTCAAATCATTTCGTATGGCAAGGGATAGATACAGAGAACAACCACAAGCAGAGTTTCGTATGCGCATCCTATCTGAGAGGACCCAAGATGGTCGACAATACAACAGACCAACGGCTTCTGAAGTTGCTGGATTAATCGTAGGAGACCTTACAGATGCTAACTTCCAGCGAGATGTCATTGTGGAACACCGCAAGAACGGACTGCAAAGGATCACAGATTTACACCCAAGCTTCATGTCGATGAATTACCCATTAATACATCCCTATGGGGAAGATGGATATAGGCTTGGAATACCTTTACATTCTGAGAGTCAAAAAACATACACTCGGACAACCTTGACAATGAGACAATTTTATG